ACCTGAAACTTCCCCCCAGTAATTCCTAGAGCCAGGCCCGCCCATGGCGGGGGCAGAGGGGCAAAGGGGACAACTGACCTGGAGCCTGGTGATTGAGAAGTACCTGGGCTAGCAGCAGTGCTCTGAGCACTGGGCCCTTTAAATCGCCGCTGGAGGGTGTGCTCCAGGTGGCTCTAAGGGCGGGGACTGGCATAGCATGCTCTGGGCAGTGCTGAAGGCTTGCTGCCCAAAGGCTCCGCCCCTGCCACCCAAGGCCCCGCCCACCTTGCCCAGGGCCTTGGTGTGTCTGTTGGCTCCCCGACCTTGTGCAGATCATTCAGAAAAACACCTGGTCTCGAGTGACCAATCGATTTCTCCCCATCCCTCAGGTGCCAGCCTGGAAGGCTCTCAGGCCGGTGCGCTTCTTTTAGGGAAAGTCAACATTTTCCACGGAGTTTAAAGCACTTGGCAAGACGTTTTGTTTTTACAAATTAAATCGCTAAAGGTTTTAGGTGCCTAAATTTAACTCTTAGCATCCGAAACCCAACCTGTGGCTTTAGGCTTTTGGCTTTGCTTGGCTTAGTTTACTGTATTTATTCCAGGATTTTGCCATATATGGGTGTTTTGGGGGCGTGTGTGCAAGGAGTTATAATAAAACCTGGCTCTCTTGAATTGTTTTTTTTTTTGGTACGGCTTCGTGTCTCTTGAACTTTTGCTGTATGGTATTGATGAAATAATCCATTCATAGCAGGCACACGACTTTTCTCCTCCTGGTACCTGAGTGCCCCGGTCACGCAGGGGTTTGAGTGGGGTGGGTTTTCTGGGAGTTGCAAGCCACCGCGCTGGAGAGGGGGGTGTGCACGTGCTGAGTTAGGGGTTGGTAAGCTGGAGATGGGGGAAGGATGGGAGACATTGGGACTAGGCTATGGTGTGGTCAGATGGAGGGGGACGGACGCCCCTGCCTTCCCGCTTCCTCTGGGGTTCCTTTGCTTTCTCCTTCTGTACCTCCCTCGGTCTCCACTGCTGACCACACCAGCGGCTTCTCTACCGGGCTCCACACACTGCCTCTTTGTCAGCTCTGGGCACCTCTTCTCTGATGGACTCCACAGCACAAGCTCAAGTGTGGTCACAGCAGGAGGAGGTGGTGTGGGGCCGTGGGGCTGTGAGTGGATGCCCAGAAGCCCCTGGGGCTAGCAGCGGGGCCTGGCTTTAGCAGTGAGGAGGGGTGGTCGGAAGCAGTGGAGGAGCCTGGCTGGGAGCTGAGTAGCCAGTTACTCTCCCAGCCGGATCTCCTGTAAAGAATTCACAACTTCGGTCTCTGGACAACCCCAAACTAGAGTCACCTGGGCAGACTTGACATGGAGCGCTGAGGGAGGGGAGCAGCTGGTGCCCGAGAGGCTGGCAAAACCCGTCCTAGACCCTGCGTTAATACCAGTGTCTCTATCAGTCAGCTTGCAAAGATTTGCCTGAGGTGGGGAGATGGTGCTTGCTACTAGCAATGGCCCAGTTTTTGCATCCTGTTTCACAGATCCTTCCACCCTGGCTGTCTCTGTGGCCGTGGCAGTGGTGGCGGTGGTGGTGATCGCAATCCTGGCAATAGGTAAGTCGTGGGCTTTTCTGCTTTTGTGGCTTCCTCTTTGCCGTTCTGCCGCCGGCAGCTCCCGTGGCGGGTCGGTTCCGGGAGGCTTGCCAGCTAGAAATGGGGAAAGGGATCCAGACACGACCCCGCAGGTCATCTAGGCACAGACAGATCTCGCCCCCCGAAACGTGGCAGGCGCCTGGCCCACTCGTATGTGACGTGCGTGAGGCCAAACCCTGGCAGGGGCAGAAGGGGCTGAGACTTTGCCAGATCTTTGCAGCAAACGTGGTGCTGCTCTTGGAGGGCTCAGGGTGCCTCTCCCCTGTCCTGTGGGAAGGTTGGCAGGGCACCAGCAGCCTTCATGCTCTGCCACTTCCATTCCCTGCCTAATGGACAGCTACTACTGCAGCCCCTGTGTCTGGGGAAGCTGCAGCAGCCACATAGAGCACCCCCACCCAGCTGTTCCAGGAAGAAACCCCGCAGGCTGATCCCCTCTGCTTATTCCCCCATAGGGGGGCTGTTGACAGGTCCTGTCTCCCTCTCCCGCTGTGGCTGCTAGACCCATGGGGTGGCCTCTGTGAGTCAGGGCAGGGGGCAGGCGGCCTCACACAAAGTCCCCTGTGTGCCCAGATCCAGGGTTATGGGGCCTCCTCTGGCAGTCTTTACTCACAGGCCTTCCATGGGAGTTCTGCCCAGGAGCTGGTGGGGGCATGGCCAGCACAATGTGGCCAAGAGGATTTAAGTAAAGCTGAAGCTACATTAGCACCGGGCATCTGGCCTAGCCACAATCCCAGCTGTTCTGTTTTCCCTGCCCCACATCTGAGATCACCAGGACATCCAGAGCTACTCAGTGTTTTCCTGGGCGGAAGCCTGACGACAGGTTGTGGCATGACCGAGAGTTCAAAACTCTGAGTCAAATCCAGAGATATCCGGCCCGTTTTGAAACAATCCACGTTAATGTGGGATTCATTTTGAGTGTTTTTTTTTTTTTAACATCTTGTTTTGAGACTTGGCTTTGCGTCCTGTTGTCTGGCTTTTCTTGGCAGCCAAAGATAGAGAAATTTGTGCTTGTTTGGAAAGCTACGATTCTCCACTCCAGAAGTGGGTTCGAAGAAAAACCATAATTTAAAAACAAGTTGTCCCATGGCACCTTAGAAACAACTAAAAATATCTGTAGCAATATGAGCCTTTGTGGGCAAAACCCACGTTAGCGGATGTATTGGAGAGGGATACCAGTAACCCTGAATTTAGAACAGAAAAAGAAGGGGAAGAAAACAAAAAAGGACCTGTCAATTGTTGGACGGGTGCTAATGAAGCTAATTCAGTGGGCTGGAAGTGCCCTACACTTAGCTTTTGATGTAACAATGAAGTGTTAAATGCAGGGCAGGCTACCTTTATAATGCAGCTGAAACAAAAAACAGGACTATGTAGCACTTTAAAGACTAACAAGATGGTTTATTAGATGATGAGCTTTCGTGGGCCAGACCCACTTCCTCAGATCAAATAGTGGAAGAAAATAGTCACAACCATATATACCAAAGGATACAATTAAAAAAAAAATTCTTTTTCAAGACCTTTTCACACCAGCCTTGAAAGAGAATCCTCCGAACTGTCATTCATGCTTAAATTCGACACTTTACGCCTCGGTCTAAACAAAGACATTAATTATCTTACTCATTACAAAGATAGCTTCCCCAATTATCACCTCTAATATCATTAGCTCACAGACATTTATCTTCCCCCCCATCCCCCTTATGTTCTGAAATTTGATTTGTCCTTTTCATATGTGTTCATTTTGGTAATTGGGAAAGCTATCTTTGTAATGAGTAAGATAATTAATGTCTTTGTTTAGACCGAGGCGTAAAGTGTCGAATTTAAGCATGAATGACAGACAGTTCGGAGGATTCTCTTTCAAGGCTGGTGTGAAAAGGTCTTGAAAAAGAATCATCCGAACTGTCCGAACACCCCCATCCCCCTTCTGTTCTGAAATTTGATTTGTCCTTTTCATATGTGTTCATTTTTTTGATTGTATCCTTTGGTATATATGGTTATGCCAATTTTCTTCCACTATTTGATCTGAGGAAGTGGGTCTAGCCCACGAAAGCTCATCACCTAATAAACCATCCTGTTAGTCTTTAAAGTGCTACCTAGTCCTGTTTTTTGTTTCAGCTACACCAAACTAACACGGCTACATTTCTATCTTTATAATGCAGCATCCAGTTAATGTCTTTGTTCAAGCCCAAGGAAACAGTGTCACATTTGCAAGTGACTGTCAGTTCTGCCCTCTCTCTGTAATTGGCGGTGACATTTCTTTGTAGAAGAATGGGCTACTTTTAAATCCATTAACGAGTGCCCAGGCTTAACAACACAAGACTGAGGATAAAATCACAAGAGCTGACAACTCAGGGACTGCTGGGGGCTCCTAGGATGGAAAGTGCAGCTGACAGAAAACGCTACCCGCGGGTTCAAGCCATGGAGCCCGATACGCTTTCTGCCCCCAATTTGGCCTCCATGTGGAGTTGAGCTCAGTCACTGTGTAGCTTGGTGGTGTGGGAGGGTCCGTGTGCGTGTTTGCTCTTGCAGGGCTGTAGTATTTCTTTCCCGTTTGAAGTCTAAGGAGGAGTTGGAGGTCTGGGCAGGTGGCGGGGCTGCAAAGTGCTCGGTAAGTTTCACCAACAATATCAACAGGTTCATGCGGGAAAAATATGAGCCCCCCAAAAATCAGATCCCCTTTTTGCAAGTGCAAGCGAGTGATGCGTTTGGCTCCTTTTCTTCCATGCTTCCTCCTCTTTCCACCTGCACCACTTCAAACTGCAGCGGAAAGAGGAGTCCTTTTAATTTGTGTTTAATTTAAAATCAAGTGACAACTTTCAGGAAAACTTATGCCTCCTTCTGGTTTGTTTTCTTTTTAGTTGGATACAAGAGAGGTTTCTTTCAACGCTGTTTCTCTGAAGACTCTGGTAAGCTGGACTTAAATAGGCTAAAATAACCTCTTTGCTAGCTTGGGAGGCTGGTGTTTTTTTGGCAACTGACCCATTTTCTGTGCATTTCTTCCCCTCCCTTGTTCTACAACAAGACATTCGTTCAAGGAAAAGCATCAATTGGGAAAACTGATCAATTCCAAAAGCTGTTTTAAACATT